TCAAGTCAAGTCATAATGATAAACTGTGTTTGTGGACTATCCAAATGACCTCTAAGGAAGAAAGTGCACTGTGCCTTTTTGTTAGTTGGTTATGTAGGCCCAAATAATGTACCCTCAGTTTGTTCCTACACGATATTAGTAATAGTTTGTTTGGAGGGGATCTTTTCCAATATAGGTAAACAAAATAAGCTGGATATTATTTGAATCTGATGTCATGCTGAGACAAACCGATGGTACACTATTTGTATCTCATATGCAACAATCCATGGCAGTGGAAATCCAATTGAATTACAGAGGTTGATAAAGGAAGTATGAACTATCTTTTATTTTGAACAAGCTACACTGTAAGGTCTCCAAGTACTGGCAAGTAGTGTGTTTGTGCCCTGTGTACTTTTCATTTGAGCTAGTGATTTACATGTATGAGACTGGTGATAGACTCAACTATATTTTAGTGACTGTGTGTGTGTGTGTATTTGTATGTTCTTAAGATATTTCAATAAATGCAAAAACTTCAACAATTCAAATTAGTTGAGCATCAAAAGCAGAGCAATCTCCATCTTTTCACATTTTTTGGACTTTCTTATTGCCTCACGAACACTACATGCACACATCTGTATTTTATTTGGATTCCTCTAGACAGTGATGTCAGCATGTTATTCATTGCACTGCATGTTTAATCTTGTGCATTTACCCCAAGTGATGTTGATTGGAAATCCAAGTTCAAAGACTATTTGTTTGCATCAAAATATGAATGAAAGAATATTCTATAGAGTTGATTTCTTCATCTATGTATTTCTTCATTCACAGCAACAAATTTCCACTAACCATTGTCCAAAAATGTCCACACTACCACCAGAACAAAAACCTCAAACTCAACTCACAAACAAAATTGACACTGATACACCAAACAACAATTACACTGCAATTTACCATTTATTCCTGACATCAGTTCAAAAATAATCAACTTGCAATTAAACTAAATTCCTGTTAACCTCAAATTCACCCAAAATCCTGGCCCAAAACTAAAATCATTATTAAATAAAAATCTGTAGAACCACACAATACCAACATCATTTATAAAATAATGTGCATTAACTGTCCAGAATTCTACACCGGAGAAACTGGAAGACAATTAGAAACCAGTTTCTCCAAATATAATAAAACACCCTCCCATGTTTACCACTAATTTTAAACAACTAACCAAACATCAAGAAACACAGAACAAAGGAAGCTATCTAACAAAACAGCCCTAACCTAAACCAACACCCCAGCGTACCAAGATACCTATACTAGGCTGTGAAGCAATCTCCAGACATGTGACCTCTTTGTT